TCCCCCCCCCCTCAAATCATCGTAATTCCAAGAGAATGGACAGCGATCATGTTCGAGTATGTTTAACTAGTACAAATAGCACCTGATAGAAGACGTTGTACACTCACCCTTTCCGTACATATCTAATAAAAGTGGTATTTTAAAAATCACTTTTCACAGTCACGTCTCTTCTTTGTCTTTACTTGCGCTGAACAGGGATAAAGAATGAGTCTATTTTTGCTTGACGATAACGCTTGGTTGGTTTTGCCATCTTGTGCACTGTGTCCTCCAAAGCCATCACATGTTGCAAAGCTGATGTGTCACACGTAGTCTGTTGCAGAACGTAAGCTCGCACTTGCTCTAGTGCTTGAACACAGACTTTGTTGGTCACCGTTGGAATCTCAGAATCACAATCCACAGCAGGTTCTTCCTCTGTTACTTGATGTCCCGAAGTAGAAACTGAGTCACAATCAGTTAAGGTGTTGTCTTCTACAGCCTGAATTGTTCCATCCATACCGACGTACTCCTCAGCACTGAGCTGTACCGCTATGTTGGTGAGCACACTAATTTTGTGTAAGAGTTTCCTAAGTTCTTTTAGATGCTGTTTTGCTGGTGACTCAAGATCGCCGGTGCTGGAAGAGGATGGGTTTGACACCTTCTTATCATCAGTTTCTGCAATGCATGCGAGCTGGAAGAACTTTTGTATGGTAGATTGTTCGAGGTCATCCCAAGAACGTGCTGCCAATAACAAAGCATCAAGAAGTGACATCTTGAAATAAGAGTATGCACCTTCTGTCTCTTCATAAGAGCTTATAAACTTGCGCAGCACTCGCGTGCGGTAGATAGTTTTGAAGGTTTGGACAATCAATTGGTCAGACTCAGATGGCTGAGAACGTGACGTTGAGTGGGAAGGTCCGAAAAAGATTTTGATTGCGCGCAGATCAGAAAGTTGTGGGTGGGCACCACAGGAGTCTACGATTAGCGCTACAGGGCGGCCTTGAAGAAGGAAACGCCTGTCGAGCTGTCGCACCCACTCCTCGAAAAGTGTGCTTGTCACCAGTGCTTTACTGCTGGACTTGTACGTGGCTGGCAGATTATGGATATTAACGCCCTTGAAACACAGGGGCTGCTTAAACTTTCCGACAACGAGAAGAGGTAATTTTTCACCACCATTCATATTGATAGCACACACAATGGAAACTCTTTGTCTGCATCCTTCCCCCATTGACGTAAGGGATTGGAACGGAAGACATTCATAGAAAAGTCCTGTTTCAACAACGCGAAATACATTCTGTGGTTCAAAGTCCTGTAGGATGTCTTTGCGCTCCACCAGCCAGTCTTTCGCCGGTGATGCTGAGTTGATAGTTCTCAATTCGATGCCGTGGCGCAGTTTGAAACGGTCCAGCCAGCCACCACTTATCTTGCAATCAATGTGTCCCATTTCCATCGCCAGTTCTTCTGCTTTCTCTTTCAAAATTGGTCCAGAAATTGGAGCACCCGTATCCCTTGCCCACGTGAACCACACCATTAGGGCTTTATCCACATCTTCAAATCTTGAACTTCTCTGCCTCTTGGGTTTACGAGCTCCTTGTTCCACTGCTGCTCGGATTTTCTCTTTGTCTCTAAAAAATGTGGAAAGAGAGCTTGGCGCAATGCCGTGTTCACGACAAATCTCCGATCTCATCTTGTGTCCATTTTCAATTTCCTCAATCAGCTGAAGTTTCGTTTCGAACGACAAACACTTTCTTTTCACTGATGCCATTGCGAATAAAAAACACTAGACGAAAATTAACGTACGTAGATCTACGTCTAATGCACAAAACCAAACTGTCTGTAAGCGAAGCAAACGTTCCACTCTTTCAGCAACACGTAGCCTATACACACACGAGCGTCAGCCTTTGTGCAACACATGTAGAGAACTAAGTGTGTAGTGATAGCTCCCACCTTGGCTGTTCGCCACGTCAACCGATAGAGATACCAAGCCACAAGCTGGTGTGTTGCGTTGGGGCCGAGGACTAGGACTACACACGAACAACGCACAAGGCGAGGCGCGTGGGCCAGCACAAAGCGACAACGCTGAAATCATTCGCTCAGTGCGAGCTGGAACCCCTTGACTGCACACTGCTTTCGCTGGTTTCGTATAGCCTACAGCTAAAAATAGCAGCCTACGGTGGGAGAAGCGGGCGATAAGCAGCTGCCGCGTGACACAGGTCGGCTCAGTCCACAGAATTCTACACTTTGTGTAGAATTCTGTGGCTCAGTCAGACAATTGAACGAACGAGCGAGAGGGCGAACGCAAGGGAACGGGGAGAGAGAGAGAGAGAGAGAGAGAGAGAGGGAGG